TCCCATTTCCCTGTTGCTAACCCTCCATGTGATCTCCATTTCTGTGGTTCTGTACCTGTTCTAGTTGTTTGCTTAGTTTCTTTTGGTTTTGCTTTAGGTGTGGTTAATAATTGTGAGTTTGCTGTCCTTTTACTATACATATTTTTTTATTATCTTCTTTTCTTAGCCAAGTCCCTTTAACATTTCATATAATAAGGGCTTGATGATGATGAACTCCTTTAACTTGACCTTATCTGAGAAGCACTTTATCTGCTCTTCCATTCTAAATGAAAGCTTTGCTGGATAGAGTAATCTGGGATATAGGTCCTTGTCTTTCATGACTTGGAATACTTCTTTCCAGCCCCTTCTTGCCTGTAAGGTCTCTTTTGAGAAATCAGCTGACAGTCTGATGGCAACACCTTTGTAGGTTACTGTCCTCTTATCTCTTGCTGCTTTTAAGATTCTCTCCTTCATTTTTACCTTGGCTAATGTAATTATGATGTGCCTTGGTGTGTTTCTTCTTGGGTCCAACTTCTTTGGGACTCTCTGAGCTTCGTGGACTTCCTAGAAGTCTATTTCCTTTGCCAGAATGGGGAAGTTCTCCTTTATTATTTGTTCAAATACATTTTCAATCTGTTGTTCTACCTCTTCCCCTTCTGGTACCCCTATAATTCAGATGTTGGAACATTTAAAGATGTCCTGGAGGTTCTTAAGCTTCTCCTCGTTTTTTTGAATTCCTATTTCTCCATTCTTTCCTGTTTGGTTGTTTCTTTCTTCCTTCTGGTCCACTCTATTGTTTTGAGTCCCAGTTTCCTTCCTATCACTGTTGGTTCTCTATGCATTTTCCTTCATTTCTTTTATGGTAACCTGCATTTGTTCATCTAATTTGTGACCAAAATCAACCAATTCTGTGAGCTTCATGATCACCAGTGTTTTGAACTGTGCATCTGATAGGTTAGCTATCTCTTGGTCACCCAAAAGGATGAGTTCTGGGGCACTGATTTGTGCTTCTGTTTGAGACATCTCTCTCTCTCTCTTTTTTTTTTTTTGGACTGGTTGCTCCTGTTACGGTGAGGGGCAGAGCCTTAGATGTTCACCAGGGCTGGGCACCCCAGTCGCTAGATTGTGACATTGTGTGTGGGGGCGGGGTCGAGAGGGAACACTGACGGTAGCTCCGTTCTCTGTGGGACCTCAGTCCCTTCCCTGGGATCCTTGGTTGCTCTGCCCTGCTCCACAATCGCTGCCTCACTGGGTCTGCCAGCTGCCACTTGCGTACTCAGGGTCCACCATCTGCGATCTTGCACGCCCCAGATGCCTTACGTGTTCCCGGTTGCCTTATGCACCCATTTCTCCCTGTTCTCCGCACGGTGACCCTGAGCCTGGCTGCTTGTCTCCGCCCCTCCTACCGGTCTGGATAAACAGGTCTATTTCAACTTCTTGGCTGTCTGACTTCCATTCAGATAAATTTTCTCAGTTCTGGGTGTTATTCTGCCTCTAAATTGTTGTTGTTCCAATCTTGGTTGTGCATGAAGGTACGGTGAGTCCACCTATGCCTCCATCTTGCCGGAAGTCCCCCTATACTATTCTTACCCGCCCCCTGTCTACTTTCTACCTACCATTTATGCTACTTATTCTATGTACCTTCTCCCACTCCCCTGTTGATAACCCTTCATGTGATCTCTATTTCTGTGGTTCTGTTCTTGTTCTAGTTGTTTGCTTAGTTTGTTTGTAGGTCCTTGCCTTTCATGACTTGGAATACTTCTTTCCATCCCCTTCTTGCCTGCAAGGTCTCTTTTGAGAAATCAGCTGACAGTCTGATGGGAATTCCTTTGTAGGTAATTGTCTCCTTTTGTCTCGCTGCTTCTAAGATTCTCTCCTTATCTTTAATCTTGGGTAATGTAATTATGATGTGCCTTGGTGTGTTCCTCCTTGGGTCTAACTTTTTGGGGACTTTCTGAGCTTCCTGGATTTCCTGGAAATCTATTTCCTTTGCCAGATTGGGAAAGTTCTCCTTCATTGTTTGCTCAAATAAGTTTTCAGTTTGTTGCTTTTCCTCTTCTCCTTCTGGTACCCCTATAATTCAGATGTTGGAATGTTTAAAGATGCCCTGGAAGTTTCTAAGCCTCTCCTCATTTTTTTTAATTCTTGTTTCTTCATTCTTTTCTGGTTGAATGTTTCTTTCTTCCTTCTGGTCCCCACTATTGATTTGAGTCCCAGTTTCCTTCCCATCACTATTGATTCCCTGTACATTTTCCTTTATTTCACTTAGCATAGCCTTCATTTTTTCATCTAATTTGCGACCAAATTCAATCAGTTCTGTGAGCATCCTGATTACCAATATTTTGAACTGTGCATCTGATAGGTTGGCTATTTCTTCATTGCCTAGTTGTATTTTTTCTGTAGCTTTGATCTGTTCTTTCATTTGAGCCTTTTTTTTTCTCAGCACGCCTGTTATACAGTAAGGGGTGGAGCTTTAGGTGTTCACCAGTGCAGGGCAACCCATGTTGCTGTGTTGTGATGCTGTATGTGGGGGAGGGGTCCAAGTTGGAACAATGGCACTTGCTCTGTTCTCCACCCATTTCCAGTCACTTCCCCTGCTACCCGCAAGCAAACTGGGCCCTTCTGGTGCTAATTCCCATGTAGGTGGGCTTGTGTACGTTCTGACACCCTGTGGGTCCCTCCAGCGAACTCTCCTGTGAGGCTGGGAGTTTCTCCCGCTGCTGCCTCAACGCCCACCAGTGGTTTCAATCAGAGGTTTGAGGCTTTATTTCTCCATCCTGGGGTCCTGGGCTGTGCTGTCTGTCTGGCTCCCCAGCTGTTCCTCCTGGTTTATCTGCACGTGAATGTGGGACAGCCCGCTCCACCAGTCGCTGCCTCGCAGGGTCCGCCAGCTGCAACCTTGCCATGAGTCCTCTCCATCCCACTGCCCATCTCTGCACCTCCTACTGGTCTGGATGAGTGTTTCTTCTTTAACTCCTTGGTTGTCGAACTTCCATACAGTTCGATTTTCTATCAGTTCTGATTGTTTTTTGTTTTTAAATTATTGTTGTCCTTCTTTTGGTTGTGCAAGGAGGCACAGTGTGTATACCTACGCCTCCATCTTGGCTAGAAGTTCTTTTGTTTTCTTCTTTAGCCTACCAGTATGATGGATTACATGACTGATTTATCCATTACATGACTGATTGCATCCCTGGGATAAACCCCCTCTTGTTCATGGTGTATATTATAAGTCCTCACTTAATATCAATTATAGGTTCTTGAAAACTGTGACTTTATGGAAGACAGTGTATAACAAAACTAATTTTACCATAGGCTAATTGATAGAAACAAGTGTTAAGTTGCTTTGGTATATTTGTGGTCACAAGAACATCACCAAACTTGTAAATAAAGACTCGAAACAAACATTGAAATAAATATGAGCCGTAGATACATTTAAGAAAGATTAATAAAAACAAGTAAGGTGGTTATTTTCCAATCCACTCATTCCAGTCCAGGGTTGCAGGTGACTGGAACCTCTCCCGGCAGCTCAGGGCACAAGGCAGGGATCATCCCTGACAGGACGCCTTTCCATTACAGGGTGTACTCACCCACACCCCCACACCCACGCTCACTCACACCGGGGCAGTTTAGACACACTGATTTACCTAATGTGAACTTCTTTGGGGTGTGGGAGGAAACCAGAGTACCTGGAAAAAACCCATGCAGACATGAGAGAACATGCAAACTCCACACAGACAGTGGCCCTGGCTGGAAATTGATTTTTTTTTCCTCATCAACGTTATAATGTTATTCAAGGACCTACTGTAATTTTTTTGTATGTTTTTGAGTTCTGTTTGCTGATGTTTTATTAAGGGTTTTTACATCTGTGTTCATGATAGATATTGGTCTTTTGATTGTTTGGCCCTTTTTTTTTGGTACTGTCTTTGACTGGTTTTGGTGTGAGATGAAAGATTGTAAACGTCTTTAGGGAAGACAGTGACGATGATCACTAAGTCGTGGAGTGGATGACTGGATGCGTGGCAATATCAGGAAGAATCCAGGGGAGACAAGGAATCCAGGGAAGGGAAATAGCGTTGTTGTGTGGAAATATTGTTGTGTGGGTGCATGTAGGGCAGCGTACCAGAGCAGATTCAGTGAGGGTGGGGGATTTAGTCTGATTGTCAAGGATGGAACAGCTGGTGTAGTTGGCTTACAGAGAACCGTAGTTAATATTGGTGTGGTAGGGCTGGAAATACATTGACTGTAGGGAAAAAATTAGTTGTAGGAGTGCTAGGGATTGAATAGTGGAGGTAGATCCTGGACCTGGAGGTGACTGGAGGAGACCCAGTAGAGGGATTAGTCTTGAGCAGGAAATTGAGCACCTCTCTCTCGGGCTGCTGGGAAGGAGAAAGGGTTGGTATGGAGAGCGTGAGGTCCTTAGAAGTAATGTGAATGTCTGGGGATGCTTCTCCTTATGCTTTGTTTAGGAGGAGGGGTATATTCCTGAGGCCAAAGGAATAATGCGACCAAAATGGGAGCAAGTGCCCTGTGCCCACATCTCTCTGGGCAGAGTTGTGATGGTGAACCTGAGCTTTGTGTAGGTCCTTAGATCGGTTTTTTTTTTGTTTGTATCTGTTTGTTCTTTTGTTTTTGTTTTCGACAGACTGGTGAGGACCACAGTTAGGGCAAATCAGTGTGGAAACTCTTCAGTCATCCTCAAACATGAGAAGTCATTGGAGGTCTTTTCTGCCCAGCCGCTGAGTCCGTTTTGTCCAGCACTGACCATGAAAGGGCCTTTGGCTCCACCCTGTGCTGAGCCAGAGAGCCACTGACCATCAGTTTGTAATCGGCAGCTCATACTTACTCTCCTGAACAATTCTGCGTAGTCACTTCTGGAAAATAGGAGAAGGGAACACTTCCCAATTCATTTTGTGGTTCTGATACCAAAACCAGACAAGGAGCAGTTTCCATCCCTGGCAGTCATTCCTCCGCATGCCTTCATGTGCTGGCTCTCAGGGGGCTGATTTCTGTTCTTGTCGCAGCTGCAGCAGGCTCCGCCAGGTTCAGAGCATCCTGACCCAGAGCAGCAAGTCTCGACCCGACGGGATCCTCTGCATCCTAGGTGAGTGTTTTTAACAAGGTGGGACTCGGGGCTGGGGTACCTTGGCTTCAGTTCACAAGAAGATATTGATTATAGTATCATTGTGAGGTAAGCTGTGGGTTAATGCCTCCCCGCTCCTGTTCCCCTGAAATTGGTTGCTGTTTCAATGAGGTTGTGTGAGATATCAGTAACACAGGGAGCTCCTACCACAGAGCTGGCACTTTGCACATATTACCTCATTTCTCCTCACATATTACAAGGGAGCAGTGCATGTAATTTAAAAATTAAGGCAATACATGAGTAATAATAAACAAAACTACCTAACCATCCCAGATTCCCAGTCCCACTCCCCAGAGATAACATTGTCCATGGTACCTTTTTTTGTTAATACAAATGGGAACATTTTATGCATATTGCCATTAACCTAATTTTTAAAATTTTCACTTGATCATATTGTTTTAGAGTTTTTTTAATATCAACTTGACTATTAAATTAGTAGTAGTGCCAACCTTTGGCATCCCTGGGCCACACTGGAAGAACAGTTGTCTTGGGCTACACATTAAATACACAAACAGTAATGAAAACTGATGAGCAAAAAAAAAAGGTCTTAAGTAAATTTACAATTTTGCATTGGGCCATGTTTATATAGCCATCCTGGGCCACATGCAGCCAGCAGGCCCCGGGTGAACACCCCTGGACTATTTAGATATAGAATACCGCAGTGTTGCAGAAATTAATGTGTTTGAGCCTGGGCGTGAAGGTGGAGGTAAAAAGTTAATAAAACTTCAGGACAGAACTTTATGTGAAGGGGCAGTAAGAAATCAGTGAGGGGATCTGTATATTCTTAAACAGCTTCTGAGGTTCAGTGGATTCTCCTTTCTGGGTAATTAGAATTGTCACAACAATTTATTATTGGTTGATTGGCTGAGTCTAGCTTTCTAACCTATGGAATATCCTTCAGAGCAACTCTGACTCCACTCACCTCCACTGTAACATTTGTCATTTAAGTTATTATGGTGTAGGAAAGTTTCTAACTGACCTTCTGCCAACCTTCTGAAAACAGCTTGCTGGCACAATGATTGACATGTCGTGAACTGCACATATTTAAAGTGGCAATGTGATAGGTTTTGACGTGTGTGTGAAACTGCCACCACAATCAAGCTAGAGCACCTGTCTATTACCTCTGTGTTTCCTTGTGCCCCTTTGTAGGTTCTCCATTCTGCCCCCTCCCCACTCCCAGACAGCTATCAATATGCTTCCTGTCACTGTGCATTAATGTGCATTTCCCTGAGTTATGTAAATGGGATCATACATACAGTATGTACTCTTTTTACCTGACCTCTTTCACTTAGCTTATTTATTTTGAGATTCACCCATATTGTAGCATGCATCATGTAGTAGTTCATTCTTTTGTGTTGGTGATTAGTATTTTATTGTATGTATATAGCAGTTTGTTTACCCATTCAGCTGTTGCTGGATATTGGGTTTCTATTGTTTGCCTGTTACAGATAAAACTGCTATAAACATTTTTATACAAAGCAGTTGTACCATTTTATATTCTTTCCAGCAGGTCATGAGAGTTTCTTTTATCCCCTCGCCAACACTTGGCATGGTCAGTCCTTTTTTTAAAACAACTTTAGGGCAGTTTTAGTTTAGTTTATAATCCACTGCTCCTTGAAATTGTTCCAGCTTTAGCCATTTGGAGCTCTGTCAATTGCGGGACAGTGCAGAGTTCCCATGTACCCCTCACCCAATTTTGCAGATTATTACCATCTTAAATTAATATGGTACATTTGTCACAATTAATGAATCAGTGTTAATATGTATCCATAGTTTCTTCACATTTCCTTAGTTTTTACCTAAAGTTCTTTTCTGTTCCAGGATCCCATCCAAGATACCACATTGAATTAGTTGCCATGTCTTCTCAGGCTCGTATTGACTGTGACTGTTTCTCAGACTTTCCTTGTTGTTGACCTTGACAGTTTTCAGCAGTGCTAGTGAAGTATTTTGTAGCATGTTCCTCTATTGGGGTTCTTACATTTCCTGTGATTAGATTGGCATTAGGAGTTTTGGGGTGGAAAACCAATGAAGTAACATGCCATTTTCATCACGTGATATCAAGGACACACACTATCAACGTGACTTTTCACTGTTTATAGTGACCTTGATCAGCTGGCTAAGATAGTGTTTCAGGTTCCGCACTGTGAAATGCTCTCCCCACCTGACCTTTCATACTGTCCTCTTTGGAAGGAAGTCACTATGCAGCCCACTCTTTAAGGAGTTAGGAGTTATGCTCTGTCACCTGGAGGAGGGGAGGATCTACCTAAATTGTATGAAATTCTTCTGCATAAGAGATTTGTCTTTTCTTTTATTTATTTATTTTTAGAGAGGGGAAGGGAGGGAGAAAGAGAGGGAGAGAAACATCACATTCTCCCTATTGGAGACCTGGCCTGCAACCCAGGCATGTGTGCTGACTGGGAATTGAACTGGTAACCCTTTGGTTCGCAGGCTCGTGCTCAATCCACTGACCCACACCAGCCAGGGCATCTTACTTTTATTTATGTATTCAGTCATTTGTATCAGTATGGACTCATGGATATTTATTTTAAAGTTTGAGTTAAAAATCTAGTACTACTTCATTTATATAGGGTGGGGGAAAAGTAGGTTTACAGTTGTGAGTATGCAAAACAGTTTATTCGTGTATTACTATTTATTGTATTATTTTCCACACAAACAACTGCAAATCTACTTTTGCCACTACCCTGTACTTTGAGTTATAATCCCTTACTACTTCAAATTGTTTCAGCTTTGGCCATTTGGAGCTCTTTTAATTGGCTCTTATGTCTGTGTTCCTCCCTTTGATATACCCCTGTCAAAGTTTTTTTGTTCGTTTATTTAGCATTTTTGTACTTTCTGGGACTATAAGATGTTCCAGGCTTATTGTGCATATTTCCTGTCCTGGTCCAAAAATCAGCCATTTCTCTGAGGAGCTCTGGTTTCTTTAATGGAGAATAACATTAGAAACCAAGATCCAGACACTGAGTGTGCTTATTGCTGCAGGGGTGTCATTGTTGCTGGGCCACGTCAGCTGACATAGTAGGGACATATGCATGTGTACTTTAATTGGTGTGTATACACACACATCTGTAAATGTTATGTGTGTATTTATATCTGTATCAAGTTAAACATGAATTCATATTAATGCCTTCAGCTCTAACCCATTGCCAGATGGATCATTCTAGCTGCCTCCTCTCATTTATCTATAAACTCCAATTCCACCAGTGAGAAACAAGGCACCTGCCATCTACCATCCATTTACTTGTTTAATTCCAGTATACATGTGTAGTAGCATCAGATTGGTTACCCATAATGCTTCTGTGGGAATCAGCTTGATCAACTAGAACACAGAGCTTACATATAGTTTTTTTTGCCTTTAATTTTATACAGTCAGTTTAGTGTTAGCAATTTGTGTGGCATTGTATGTAGCTGGAACCCTTAGAAGAGGACAGGCTAAGACTAGGCCTGCCCTTTCAACCTTTGGCATTATGTAGGCCATTCCTGCTTTTGATTCTTTTTTACCCCTGCCTTCACTGAAGAGTTGAGGGGAAAGAACAGGGCTGTGCTGCTTTGACCTCGGCTGAGAAGGGAGGCCTCCCGTGTTGGAAGTCCCCTGACACAGGCAGTCCCTAGGCCCCTCTGGTCTGAATGACCGTTACTTTTCACTTTTCCCTGGCCTGATGTCCACTGGCAGTCATTTTCCCCAGGCTCCAGCAATATTTCTGTTCTTGGAGCTCTTCCCACCTCCTTCCTCTTAGTCTCATGTGGACAGCTGCCCCCTGCCCTTAACACAGCTCACTTGCCCAGAGCCGTAGATACCCAGGAACCGGGTAGTACCTGTGTCTGTGGCATTGAAAGGCCATAGTGAAGGCAGTATTATTTCACTGCCTTTTTATTTATCTCTGACCCAGCCCTGCAGGACTGTGAGCGTGATGAAGGCCATCTGTAGGCCCAGCACACACTCCAGCATCCAACACAGATAATGTTTGTGAAATGGTGGGTGTGTGTGGTTCCAGTCACTTGTCCTCTTCTTGTTTCAAACCACCTCAATCCTCCTTTATTTGACCCCACATGTTTTGGTAAGGGTCTTTTTGAGAAATGATTATTTTCCTGACACCATTTCCCATTCCAACTGAAAATATTACAGAACCTTTAACCAGCCATGATAGGACTTGGATTAATATTTTCTGGTTCCTTCTGTCCTCAAGAATTGCTTTTTGGCAATTAACAGTTTCAGTTACCTGTGCTATTTGACTGTCTCTTGAATCCGAGCAAGGGTGCTTGGTACTGAGGCCTGCTTCTTTCACAGAGTGTGGCTTAGTGTGGGTCCTGGTACAGAACTGGTCTAAGCTGTCGCCTCTTACCTAACCATCAGGGTTTTGCCAGGCAGGGCAAACCCTTTGGGCTCATTCACTCCCCACAGTGGAGCACAGCTGATCAGAGCCTTCTTTGCCTTGCAGGAATCGACAGCAGGTACAATGAAGGCTGCAGAGAGCTGGCCAATTATCTTCTCTTTGGTTTGTACAATCAGAATGTTGGTGATTTTGAGAAAACGGGGTTTTCTGAAGAAGTTCTAGATGGTAAGTACATTTTGGTAAACTCTGTATGAAAGAGTGATGTGTGATTTATTTCTTCAGATCCTTATTTCATGGTCTTCTTATGAAAAAATATGATCAAATTTAAAATAGCCTGAAGCCCCAGTAAACTTTTACTTTTTTATTAATAAAAAACAACATTTCTTCTTTGCTGATATAGCAAGGAATATGCTCTTGTAAGTTACCTGCTGGATAAGAGACTAGCAACAAGTAGTTTTCAGAATAGGTTTGTTGGGTAAATCAGCTTTAGAGGAAAAAGTAAACATCAATGTTTGGCTTTATATATTCTATGACTAGTTTTCCTCTGAATCGCCTACTGCCTCTGCATGCTGGGAGGGTTCAGATTATGTGCATTGTCCTGTGAAGCCACTTTCAGCTGTGAGTCAGGGATGAGCCTGCAGGATATTCCTACAAGGAAGACTTCATGTGGATCTTCAGTTTAGGAACAAAGGCTCTTTGTCCTGCTCTGTCTTTGGGAATTGTTTCCTGTGTGACTTTAATTCATGACGATGCCCATGACTACAATGAGGGCTTTCTGCTTACATTCCCTTTTCCTCAGCTCTGAGACACTCACCCTGTGTTGATGCTGCTGTGGCTGATGCCCAGGAGCTATCTCTGATATCACATACTTAGCATCAGGACTTGTCTGCCAGACGGGTCAGGAGACACAGGAATAGACAAATCAAATTGGACAAGAGACAGAAAGCTCTTGTGAAGCAGCTGGGGGACGCTTGAAAGGAAACATCTGATGTTGATACAATCTTGCTGTGTATATCTAGTACAGTGGTTCTCAGCTGGGGTTAGTTTTAGCCCCTAGGGGATATTTGCCAAGAGTTGAAGACATTTTTGATTGTGACAACTGGGCAGAGTGGGTAGAGGCCAAGGATGCTGCTCAGCATCCTGCAAGGCACAGGACAGCACCCCCAAACAATTATCTGGTCCAAACTGTCAGTAGTGCCGAGGTTGGGAAACTCTGGCCTAGTGTGTGTGAAAATTCTTCTGTAGTAAAAGTCCTTAATACTGTCTATCCTTAGGGATTGAGTAAAGATTTCTTTGTTATTTGGAAGTACAGAAAGAGGCTGAAATGATTCCTTTCATTAAATTTTTTTCAGTTTGAATTTAGTTTCAGATTTTGATTCTAAAAAATGTTTCTGTACACTGTACAGCATCTCCTGGTTTGGAAAGAATTCATCTTGGCACCTCATTTAGAAAGTTATAAAAAGACAGATGCTTGTAGTGGCCACACATTTCATGTCAGCCAAGGTTGCTAAGGACGTTATGGTACTGAAATTAAGGAAATAGTTTAAATCTGCAAAGGAGTGTTTTTTTTGTTGTTTTGTCTTGTTTTTTTTGCTGATCTTTGTCTGCCCTGCCACCTGGCACAATCGGTGCTTATGAAATGAGCATTTTCTTCAAAATTAATAACTTCGTATTTTAAAGTCAAGTAGTTGGAAAGCTGAGGTCAGCAGGTTTATGCTCCTACATTTCAGTCTCTAATTATGTGAAAGGAAAAGAGGCCAACATACAGGGATCATTTTTAAAAGAAACTTTTAAAGTAGTTGCATCTTTATCCAATTCTCTTACACTTGCTGCTTTTACCTAACTGCACCCTACTAAACGTTCTTCATTGTGATGACATCAGTCTTAAGAAATCCTGAGATTTCTTCATTAGGTTTAGCTATTACAATATTTCTTTTATTGAATTCTTTGCAGTGTGTTACATGTTAGAATAGATGCGACACAGGAAGCCATAGGCTCTCCAAGTGACATCAAACACTTCAATTCACTGCTCAGCGGGCGGTCTACCTGTGATTCAGGGCAGGGCTCTTTCAGAGAGCCTGGGTGAGGAAAACCGGCGGATGAGAGGGGCTTCTTTTCCACCCCCTGCCACCTTTTGACTCCAGGACTAGCCTGAGAGTCAGCGGTGAAGCTGCTCCACACTGTGCTCCTGAGAACACCTTGGGTCTGACCAGGTACGCAGTTCAAAGTGGCTTACAAGGTCACCATCATGGAGCTTTATTTCAAGATGCCACCAGCTGTGTGGTCAACTGTGGTCAGTTTTCATCGGGCTTATGTTTTTGTACGTGACGGTCTGTCACAGTGTCTTAACGTGTTGGCATTACTCTAAAACTTCTGCCTCAGCCACCTCCTCCAGCAGCTTCCCTGGAGTCATCTTGCTCATGGCTCTGCCTTCCGAGGAGCCATGGAAAGCAGCCTCTGCTTTTCTCCCGGAAGCATGACTGCTCTCGTGCTCAGTATTCAAACTGCTGTAATAGTCCTGCCCTGTTCTGTGTCTCTTCTTTTAGTTTATCTAGGTTCATTTGCATTCTTGGGGTTGCTTTATTTCACCACCCATGGATGGTTACTCCCTAAATTGTGAGTTGCTGATCTATTTATGGAAGCCCTGTCCACCTGCCTGTACTTCCTTCCTCTGGGCCTTTCCTGTATACAGAGTTCACCCCTGTACATGGTCATCCTTTCCGGAGCCAGCAGTGTCCCTTGAGTCAGATGAGCCAGCAGCCAATGGCTTCGGACACTGACGCCTGCAAGAGAACTAGTCACTGGCTGTATTCAGTGCCGCTTTCCTGCCTCACTTGCTTTAGACTGGGGAGTTTCCGGTTCAAATTCACCTCTGCAGTGAAGTACACAGTGGAGTTTTGTCCCACAGATTCGACTGTGTTGCACTTTACAAAACGCTCCAAAGGCCGTTCTTTTTACCTCACCTGTGCCTGCATTGCCATCACTAGAGGGCCACAGTGGCGGGAGCAGCACGTGGAGACGAGGAAGTGCCTGCTGTCCACACTTGAGTGTTCGTCAGTCATTTTGAAGCACATGAATGAAGGAAGGAATTTTCCGTTTAGAGTTTAGTTACATTGCCTTTGAAGTAGTTTTAATGGTTTTACTAACTATGTGGGCAAAAAATGTCTAAAGAAAATGCTTTTGACAGTCTTGTGTCTTAATTTTGGTTTCCTTACAGATGTAATTATACTGATTAAATCAGACAGTGTCCATCTGTACTGTAATCCTGTGAACTATCGCTATCTCTCACCCTGTGTGGCACATTGGAGGAATCTGCACTTCCACTGCATGACCGAAAATGAGGTGAGGAGACAAGATAGAACAGGCACTTAGAGACACTCTAAGAATATTCTTCCAGGAAAATGTAGATCTGGAATAGGAGTCCTCTAAAAAAATCAAATTGCAGAATGCAGTTATACCAAAAGTTATTTAAGTGGAACATTTCATATTTCATTATGTGGCTACCTTTTGGATAACTTGTACGCCTGAAGGAGACAGAAGGGGCTCTTCAAATTGGGACCTAGTACAGGCTTGTGAACATGCCTTCCTGTCCTGCTTCATCACCAGCCTGCACACACTCTCTTGAGGGACTAGTGCCTGAGTACCGCTCCAAGAGAACTGGATAAGCTTTGTGCCATTTCCGTGTTTGGATTTCTTGGTATCTGTGTCTGTTTCCTTTGAGCTATTTCAAGGATTTGGCTGGGAATCAAGTTGGGATTTGAGATTTAGGATTTCATGGAAAATGTGACCTGATGTGAGTCACAACCTTTCTTTCCATGTGAGCGTTTGCAGGATTTTTGAGGACAAGTTTTCTCTCTCTCTCTCTCTCTCTCTCTCTCTCTCTCTCTCTCTCGCATTTAGGTGTGTGGTCCATTTTGAGTTGATTTGTGTGTGGTATGAGATAGGGGAATGAGAGTGTTTCTGACCAGCAAACATAAAATGTTGGCATTGGAAACACCCTCCTGGGTGCAGTCTTTTATAAGTGTTTTTTTGGGGCAACTCTGACAAAATGCAGAGAAAATATGGAACTTCTCCTGATGTCTTGTCAGAGCCTGTTTTCCTTTCATTTTCCCTTTTTAGTATGAAGATGAGGAAGCTGCAGAAGAATTTAAAATTGCCAGCTTCGTGGACATGGTTCGAGACTGTAGCAGAATTGGCATTCCTTATAGCTCCCAAGGTGAGTGAGCGGCATGAGCCATTTAACCTTGCTGGGATGGTGTGTGAATCACATGCCCCTCTTCTCCTTTCACTGGGGGCATTCAGCTGGGAAACCCATTGATCTGTTTTCACTGAGTCAGGGGCTGAAGCAGAAAGGAATTTGGGAACTTCCTATGCCCCTTGTATTCATAACCGAAGTTTCTGCAGCAACAAAGCAGACCACCTAGAGTCAGCTAGAAGAATCAATAAGGCATTTACCACAGTTGCCATCTCGTCTGTACCCCCGACTGTGGGTAGAGTGTAGATGTGAGGCCTCTAGCTAATAAGAAATAGTAATTGGGTAGCTGTTAGAAATATGCTGACAGTAAGGCTAAAAAATTATGGGTAACAATATAGGAAAAAAATCAACAAGTTTAACAGTGCTTACATCTTATTTGGAAAAAAAAAATCCTAGCACATTGAAGATGCTGTTATAAGAAAAGAAAATTTTGGATTTGGCGATTTTCTCTTGAAGAAGTTGTTTGGATGTTTCTTGAGGGAGAGGAGCCAAGTTTGGGTCTGTTAATAATTATATCCACTAACTGATGCAAGTCAGATGTAATAGGCCACTATTTATTTATTTATTTATTTATTTATTTATTTATTTATAACACCAGAATGGGAAAATATACTATAGAGAAACCTGAATTTATGTAACTTGTTTATAGTTTGAATTTTCCTGGGCTTTTACTTTTATTTCTAGTGTTAATATGTAACCATTTTATCTGTTTCGATTTTATTTTGCTAGACAAGGCTGTGCTGAGAAAAGATGCCTGTCTGACCACATTAGATCAGGTTTAGACTGTTACATCTAGGGTGGTATCTGATACATGTTGTTGTATTTGATTCCTCTAGGTCACTTGCAGATATTTGATATGTTTGTAGTGGAGAAGTGGCCAATTGTACAGGCCTTTGCACTTGAGGGCATTGGAGGGGATGGATTTTTTACCATGAAATATGAGGTAGGTATGAAAAGCATTATGCTTGGTGTGCATCATTATAATATACTCTGAAAAGCTGTCAGTGATCTCTCAAAGACATGGAGCAAATTTAAACACCATTAAGGCCCTGGCTGGTGTAGCTCAGTGGATTGAGCACAGGCCACAAACCAAAGGGTCGCCAGTTCAGTTCCCAGTCAGGGCACATGCCTGGGTTGTGGGCCAGGTCCCCAGTGGGAGCCATGTGAGAGGCAACCACACATTGATGTTTCTCTCCCTCTCTTTCTTGCTCCCTTCCCCTCTCTCTCTTAAAATAAAAAAATTAAGGATAGAGTAGGTGGGACCTTTGGAAGCAAGGCCCAGGGCTAATTCTGATGCTCCTTCTGAGAAGTAGCAGCATCCCTAGGAAATGAATGGAGGTTTGCCTGGCAGACTCTGTCACGTGGAGGAGCATAGGCTGTAGGCAAGGGCTGAAGAGAAGCATACCACTGAACTCCACTTTTCCTGCTCCAAAACCACAGTATTCTTACATTGACTACTGGTCACAGAGCGTCAACAAGCTGTGGAACCCGCCCCTGATGGGAAGTTATGCTCTCTAATTTAGAAGAGTAGGGGCTAGAATGGAGGCAGGCCATAGGAGATAGAGGCAGTTTAACATTTTTAGTAATAATGATAATACTTACTGTTAATTATATAAACTGGGCATTTTATAGAGTACCTCCTGTATGTCAGGTACTGTCCTAAGCACTTTATATGAACTGACTTTTAATTTTTACAATAACTCTCTGAAATAGTTACTATTATAATGCATATTTTACAAAGAGGCCAAATAAACTTCCCAAAGTCCCAAAGCCAGTAGCCAATGCATGGCAGCGCTGGGGTCCAGTCCAGAGAGTCCAGCTTCAGTGCCTGTGCTCCTGCCGCCTATCCTGCCGCCAGATGAGGGTTGGAAAGCGGTGCACTAGGAGGTTGCGTGATTCTCGCAGCCCGAATGAGGCAGCCCTCCGGCTCCTGCCTTAATAAGGTACATCACACCATGAAGTCATAACCAGAAGGAATAAAATCCCCTTCCAAAAAACCTTCACAAGGCAGTGTAGATCTTTGCTGTAGGGTGGTAGCTTTAGAGGGCAGGATGTGCAATGATAGGAAACAACACCCATCATATAGAAAGAGCAGGGGAGGTGGGACAGGAAGGGCAGGGAAGGTAGAAAAGGATCTCAAGATCCCTTTCTCAGATCCTGTTCTTCTCTGTAGCTTCCAACTCTCATTCCCTCAAATATTTTCCATTGTTTCCACCTCATTCCCCACTATAAACCCCCACTTTCAGTTCTCTCCCTTACCCTATCCTTCCTAGTCTTTTAAGGTATGGAGCAGTTTGGCTTACTGATCAGCTCTGTCATTCTATTCTCTACTCCACTCTGGTTCACCTGTCAAAGGCCTGTTAGAAAGGTTCTTATATCCTTGGAAGACTAAGAGAAGGAGCACAGTTATTTATAATTTTGTTTTTTTAAACTTCTATTATATTGCATGGCCATACCCAGAAGAAAGTTATTAAGTCAAAGGATATTTTGTCCCTGATGTAGTAGAGACCAGAATGAGAAAGCAGCCCCAAACCCACATAGCGTTTACTTGGTACTTAGGCTAGGCCAAACTGAGTTGTGGATATTGGGAACTCTTCTTGGGAAGCGGTCCAGGGAAGTTCCTCTGCTGCGGCTTTCCCTGCCTCCAGCTTCTTCCTTCTTATTCTCCAGCTGCTGGAACTGTGACCTGGTAATATAAATTTGCATCAACTAGCTCCCCAAGGGGAGGATTCTAGCAGTGAACTTCTGAGTAATGAGAGTGCCCATAAAGCAAGCATTCATTCACCATTTTTATGGGTAAACATGAGACCTTTGTACTGAAAGGTAGAATGAGACTTATGAAAAGACTCAGTAAATATAAGAGACCATAGCATATCAGATGCATGGACAAATCAGCATGTTTTTTAAACAGATTTCTCCAGGAAATAAAATAAAAATTGAGAAAAAGATCTCTTTTCTGTCTTTAAAGAATGGAGTTTGTATAAAGAGAAATGAGATATGGTAGGTAGAGCAAGCAAATTAAAAAGGGAGATGGATGGCATACAAGGAAAGATTGTAATAAGTCTCAAAATTCATTAATAAAGTTAAAATTTGAATTTTAAAAAAAGAAATCAAATCCAGGAACTCACAAAAATCTAATCAGTTGGTACACTTGAAAAGCTGTTTCGGAATACAGAAGAAGGGGCCAAATAGATTAAATCAGTAAGAAAGCAGAAGATAAAATGGGGGATAAAGAGTGGAAATTGGTGGTATTGAAAATGAAGAGATTAATTGAAAGTTGTTATGTAATAGTCTGTGCCTTCCCCCACACACACTGTTCCCCAAGTGACAGACAGCCCGGCATTTACCACCTGCCATCTCCACCCTCGGGAAACCAAGGAACAGAGGTGAGGAGGCAGGGGTTCTCTAAAGAAACTGAAAAACAAGACAAAAAAATAGAACTCATTGGCTAGTATAGCTTTTGTTGCCTCAGAGTAAAGCCCTTCACATTTTGACATTTAGACTATAACTGGGTAGGGATCCTGGAGTAACAGCCTCCTACCTATCTGCTCTCCCCCTAAAATACTTCCTGGTAGTTGGCAAATTCTGTGGAAAGCATAAAGCTTCCCATCAGCCTTTCCATTTGAAAATAAAAGCAGGCCGCCAAAGATCACAGGACATTTGATTAAATACCTGTAACTTAAAAAAGAAAAAAGTCAGGCTTAAAAAATGAAGGACTGATTGGATAAGACCCAAAGGTAATTTAACATATACAAGAAAACTTAAAACACAAACCTTTCTTCGGATGCCCAGAGTAATGTAAGATTTTTGGCAACTATAGAACAGGTGTTATGTTTGATAAATGAATGTAAGGAAAATATCTCTGGAAAATTATAATTGATAGAATCCATAGAGGAGTTGGAAGGTAAAGTTAGGGAAATTTATAAAAATGTAGAATAATAAAATCAAGGAGGTAGAAAATATGAGGAAGAACTGAGACAGGGATGATTGATCCGTGAAGTCTGATACCAGCCAAGTGTAAGTTCCGGAAAGCTAGAACAGAGATGCCAGCAGAGAGCAAGCATGTTTAGAAAGAACACATCTTTCTAGTGATAAAGAGAAAGCAATGCTTTTAAGTGGAAGGAAAAAACTTAGATCTGTCTCTGCCATTTTTAAACACTAAAGATGAAAGAATGCCGTAAAACGCTTCCAGTGAGAAAAAAATAAATCACCTACAATAAGAAATAGGAACTGGATTCTCCTCCTTCCCCAAACAAAATGAGCAACAACAACAACAACAAAAGTCCACTGAGCAAAATATGAGAAGCAGTAGTTTCAAAACACTGGACATGCGGCAATGAGGAATAATGATTCCCTGGAGGATAGAGGTGAACAAGCTGAGCCCTACGATTGCCCCATGATTGCCCTGGCTTACTCTGAGAAAATTTCCAGGCTGTGTAACCGGAGGAAGGGGGTACCCAGGTAGATCCCAGTGTACTTCCTGAGTTGAGAGTCTGGTGAGACCATGGAAGCTAGAGTAATAAAGAAGAAAGAATTGCCCAGAGACAGAACTTCACGATATACCGAGATTCCCCTGCCTCCCACCCATTCCAGATAGTCAACAGATTATTGATCACTGCATTCACGCCTGAGGCAACTACCAAAGGTGTGGTGGGTGGGGAATAGGAAAGAGTTCAAGAACAATGCCTGATGCACGCTGAGACCTGGGCTTGCCTAGTCTCCACCCCCCCCCCCACGCCGCCCCGCGGTAGACTGAACACTGAACCCGTAATTCACAGGGCACTGGGTAGAGTCCTCAGGAGGGTTTCACCTTGGTAATGGTAAAATTAGCCCTAGACCGAGCACCATTGTAAACCCTCTGGAAAAAAAAAAAAAAAAGACCCCAATCCACCTGCTTGCGGGTAACTTAAATGCATCACAGAAGAAAGCTCAAGAATATTCACAGGAATACAAAAATACCTAGCACCCAACAAGGTAAAATTCACAATGTCTGGCTTCTAAAGATTGTCAAGTTTCCAAAGAAGCAGGAAAATGTGACCTGATAATGAGGGTCTCAGTCAGTCAAAATTGACCTGGAATTGACACAAATATTAGATATTGCAGACAGGGACATTAAAACAGTTACTCCAGCTTTATTTCATATGTTCAAAATGCTAAAGGAAAGATTGAACATGTTAAACAAAGACAGGAAGACAATGAAAAAGAGCCAAATTGAAGTTTAGGATTGATTTTTGTTTTGATTAAACAAGTGAAAAAAGCAAAGCTTTGATAGCTCTAGGAAAAACAAAATTTGTTAATAAAAGCAAATGGTACTATTAGTATGTACTTCATCTTCAATAAATAAGATATATATGGTGTTAATCTTATAAATAATAATGACAAGTACAACAAAAAAATCACAGTATAGTATTAGATGATGTTAGTATGTGTGTCTGTGTGTATAGAGAAAAGTGAGGGACTGGTTATGGTTGTAGAAGAGCTGTATCTTTGCCATAAGCCAGTATTTAATTTCTAAATTAGTACGTCAGGAAGCAGTGATATGGTATAACAAAATATGGAGGTAACTACCAGAAGAAAATGTTAAAAAACTTTCAAGTGGTTGTCCTTGAGGAGTGAGAATAGTGGATTTTTGTGAAAGGTAGGAGTAGGGGAATAAATTTTTATTACAAAACTTTAGTACTAAGTGATATTTTTTTTAAATCATGAGCATGTATTATTTTAATTACAATTTTATTTTAAAGGCAAAAAAGTATATCTGTATATGCATATGTGCATGTGTATGTATGTATATAAATATTTATATACCCATCATTGAAAATATTTAAAAATGTACTAAAGTTTCTGAAAAGATCGTTTCCTTGAATGGGATAGCATTTATTAATATGTATAGGTTCTATTGTAATTGATAAAATTTCATTATTCTAATGACCGAGTTCTCACCAAAGTGGTCAAAATTTCTGAACATCAAAAAATAATCCCTGCTGCCCTGATGTACTGACTCTGTCCTTCTACTCTTTGCCCTTGTGTTGCAGCTGCAGGACGTGAGTTTGAATCTATGGAATGTCTACAGCAAGATGGATCCTGTGTCTCTGGAGAGTTTGCTTTCAGAAGTAAGAAGCCAAATTTTATTTTACTTACAAATATTGCAAGTACCTCACTTATCTACGTAGTGTATGTAACTTGAATAAATGCAGGATATATTCAGTTTACTGTAGTCAAAGAATTGAGCCGTTTCTTCTCTGATTATTGTCTTGAACTCCGTGAAGGTGGAAGGGGACTGGAAAAGTGATACTGCCTCTTCCACAATGAGGAAACCTCACCTGAGGTGAGACCAAGGCCGCTGGCCTGGTCCAAGGTTTAGGCTTTCATCTAAAGACATTCTTTCTGCTGGGCTGGGCTGGAAAAACAATAGAGGGTGTCTTTTTTGTACTTATTCTCTGCTATGGAAATATTTTAAAAAGATGGGTGTGGCTTGAAGGAATCAAGGATTAAAGAATGGGTCAGCATACTTTTTCTGTATAGCACTAAATAGTAATGTTTTAAGTTCTGTGTGCCCTGAGAGCAGCCACAGACAATGCTTAAAAAAGTGGTGTATCTGTGTTATAAGGAAATTTTATTTATAAAAATATGTGGCCTGCCCACAGGCCATAACTTGCCAACTCCTGGATTAGAGAGTCAGACATAAATTTTTTATCTGAGCTTTGAAGGATAATTTAATTTAGGGTGGGAGGAGAAACTTGCAATGACGGAGCAACAAGCAAAACTAAGAAATAGTACTTTGGTTAAACAGCTCACTAGTGTCTCTTAGTGGTCATGGATAGAGATGCATGGAAACGGAACAGCTTGTAGCCTTTAAGTGAAATTAGCTGTAATATCAAGGCCCCCCCAAAATAAAAACTACACACCAGTCTCACTTACAAACATTAATGCCTGAATTTTAAGTAAAACATTAGCAAACAGAACCTAGTATCATGTTAAAAGAAACTTCCTAAATAAATTGCCATTAGTTGGAAAAAAAAAAAAAGAGAGAGATAAGTAGTTTAGGAGTTTCTGAAAGTGTCTGAGACCCATGTCCCCCTGGCATATAGTGCCCTCGATGTGTAGGTCACATGTGGAGGCAAGACATAGTGTTGTAGTTTTGAGAACATCTTGAGCATCTCTGGAGTCGGTGACCACTCCAGAGTGACCACTGAGGAGAACATTTTTAATTGCAGCATCTTCAGTTGCAACAGTGACAACCACCATGGGCTAAATATTAAGCCCTTTCTTGGCTTTCTAACTTCCCGTGAGCTTGGTATTCTTAGGTGGTATCATGAAGAAGTGGAAGGAAGCTCTTTTTGCATCTAACAGTGTACTTCTTGTCTATCTGGAAGAGTGAAGGTTCAGAGCCAGATTTAATTTTATTTAGAAATAATAAAGTAAGATGATAATGTCTTGAACCAAAATGTGGCTGAGCACATTTATACCCACTACATTACAGAGCACTCTTACAAATCAATAAAAAAAAAACCACAACAATGAGAACTGGGTGACAGCAGGGATTGGCTATTCGCAAAATGAGAAATAAAAATGACCTTAGTTTTCCACTCCCAATTAGGGAGATAGAAAGTTGAAAGAAATTATTGCTGTCACCCTAACAACCAAAACAGTCTGAATACACAACAAAATAATAGTTTTAAAATAAAACCATTAGAGAGCTGAAGATGCTAAGAAAGCTAAAAGAACTCAGTTCCAGAAAATGTAGGGCCCTTCCTAGAATGCTAATTTCTGGTGGAGCAGCAGAAGGAAGAGGAATCCACCATGTTCAGGAATAAGTAGAAATCAGCTGACCTTTAAAAGAGCTATGTGGGGTGAGTCAGCACCTACTCATTGACTCTATCCCATAGGCCTTTACAAGGGCTAAGGGTAGTCATCAACCATCCCCCCTAAGGCACTCAACATTCAGCTATCACCTGGATTAGAGCAAAAGAGCAACCCCTTGAAGGCATTGCCGGTATTTACAAAGTATAAGTAGCTGCCCTCTTAAGGCAGGGGGTAAAGCAGGAAGACAGAGAAGGATCCCCTTATATAGAGCCAAGGGGACTGGAGAGCTAAGAAAACTCCATAGCAACCAAAAAACTGGTAGCCAGCTTGTAAAGCAGGGATAGATAGCCCATGATTCACCAAGCTTGTGGCTCAGCTGTAAAACAGAGATTTCCAGAATCTTGCCGGTGCTCTGAGCAAAGTCTCTACTGAAGTTCATACCTACCCTCAAATTCTTTTAATTTAGTGATAAACCAAACCAAACTACAAATGCAATAAGATCCAGATCCAGGTCAATTACATATCAAATTGCTTAGAGCCTTATGCTATCGGGCTAACAAAAGAAAGGGCGTGCCCTTTCCTCGAGGTAAAATAGTATTTACCTCAGTTTTTACTGTACTTTCATACCAAATATGTGGCATATGATTTAAAAGTTACAAAGCATGAAGAAGCAAGAAAATTTGATCTGTGGTCAAGAAAAGAAATAGTCAATAGAAGCAGGCAAACAGACTCAGATGTTAAAATTAACCAATGAATTTAAATAACTAATAAAAATGCCAAAGTAGGGAATTCCAGCCAAGATGGAGGTGTAGGTAGAAACCCCTTTCTTCCTGGAACAACAAAAAGGAGATTAACAACCAATCTAAAAACAACGAGCAACCAGAACTGCCAGAAAATCAAACTGCAGGGAACTCTGACAACCAAGGAGTTAAAGAAACATGCACCAGACTGGCAGGAGGGACTGAGATGGGCAGCCGGCTAACAAAAGAGCCCTCGGCAAGGCGGCAGACCATGCGGGCAAGGCAGGGCTGGCTGAACAGGAAACTAAAGATTCAAGTTGGCTGTCAACTGCCAAGGAGGTTGCCACAGCAGGGAAAACTCCCAGTCTCACACAACAGAATTCGTTGGAAAGTGGGACTAGAGCTGAGCAAATATTGTTCCCTCTCTGACCCCTTCCCCACAGACAGCACTGTAACACAGCACAGAGGGTTGCCTCACCCAGGTCACTACCTAAGGCCCTGCCTGCCTACAACATAACAGGTGCACTGAGACAAAGAAGTATGGCCCAAATGAAAGAACAGGTCAAAACTCCAGAAAAATAGCTAAGTGACAAGGAGCTAGCCAACCTATCTGATGCAGAGTTCAAAACACTGGTAATCAGGATGCTTACAAAACTGATCGACCTTGGTCGCAAAATGAAAGAACAGATGAAGGCTAACCAAAGTGAAGTAAAGCAAAATACACAGGGAACCAACAGTGAAGGGAAGGAAACTGGGACTCGAATCAACAATCCGGAACAAATGGAAGAAATGAACATCCAATTGGAACAGAATGAAGAGACAAGAATTCAAAAAAATGAGAGGCTTAGGAGCCTCTGGGACAACTTTAAACATTCCAATATCCGAATCATAGGGGCACCAGAAGGAGGAGAACAAAAGCAAGAAGTTGAAAACTTATTTGAACAAATAATGAAGGCAGACTTCCCCAATCTGAAGAAGAAAATAGACTTCCAGGAAGCCCAGAGAGTTCTAAAGAAATTGGACCCAAAGAGGAACACACCAAGGCACATCATCATTAAGTTAACCAAAATTAAAGATAAAGAGAGAGTCTTAAAAGCAGCAAGAGGAAGGGAGAGAGTTACCTACAAAGGAGTTCGCATAAGACTATCAGCTGATCCCTAAAAAACAACCTTATAGGCAAGAAGGGGCTTGAAAGAAGTATTCCAAGTCAGGAAAGGCAAGGACCTACATCCAAAATTACTCTATTTAGCAAAGCTATCATTTAGAATAGAAGGATAGAAGGGCAGATAAAGTGCTTCCCAGACAAGGTCAAGTTAAAGGAGTTCATCATCACCAAACCCTTATTATGTGAAATGTTAAAGGGACTTGTTGAAGAAATAGAAGATCAAAAACTATGAAGAGTAAAATGACAACAAATTCACAACTGTCAACAACTGAACCTAAAAAAACCCCCAAAAAACTAAGCAAACAACTAGAACAAGAATAGAACCACAGAAATGGAGATCACATGGAGGGTTTTTCAGTGGAAAGGGGGAAGGGAAGAAGAGGGGAAAGGTACAGGGAATAAGAAGTATAACTGACAGGCATAAAATAGACAGGGAGAAGTTAAAATGGTATAGGAAACAGTGAAGTCAAAGAAGTTATATGTACAACCCATGGACATGAACTAAGGGGGGTGGAATGCTGGAGGGTTAGGGGGTGTGGGGCGGAGGGGGGATAAGGGGGAGAAATTGGGACAACTGTAATAGCATAATCAATAAAATATATTTTTTTAAATGGGAAAAATACCAAAGAATATGGAAGAAAAGAAGACAACATGCATGAAGAGATGAGGAATTTCATCAGAGACCTGAAAATTATAAATAGAAACACATGGAAAAGCTAGAAATTGAAAATAGTATATAAGAAATGAAGAGTGTATTAGATTGGCTTAGTAACAGACTAGACAGCAATGAAGAAAAGTTTGGTGAACTTGAAGATAGGTGAACAGAAAGTTTCTAAACTGAAGGACGAAGAGAAAGCAAGGGGAGTAGAAAGATCATCCAGTATCGGTGAGACAATGTCAAATGGTCTAACATAGTATATTTGGAGTCCCAGAAAGAGAGTAGAGAGAAAATAGGACAGGGAACTTGAGTTGATAATGTCCAAGAACTTTCCAAATTGGTGAAATACTTCAATTCACAGATCCGAGAAGCTCAGTGAACCACAAGTAGGATAAAATAAACATGTATAAAAATGACTTAACCTGGCTGGCGTAGCTCACTGGATTGAGCACAGGCTGCGAACCAAAGTGTCACAGGTTCAATTCCCAGTCAGGGCACATGCCTGGGTTGCAGGCCACGGCCCCCAGCAACCACACATTGATGTTTCTCTCTCTCTCTTTCTCCCTCCCTTCCCTCTCTAAAAATAAATAAATAAAATCTTTTAAAAAATGACTTAAGACTCTGTTCATGGATCTCTTGTAGTGACTCTACAAATGTTAATAGAATCCAAATCCAACAACCAAAAGAAATTAAATGCAATTCCAGTCATTACTTGTGTCTTTAAAAATTACTTATAAGGGAGGC